GCTTCATATTTTCAATAAAGCACAAATATGAATTTGAACTTTATGAAACAAAAAAAGATAAGAATGATGGCAAGTGGACCAAGAAAAGATAGGAACTGGACCAAAGACTGAGCTTGATGAGATCAGAAAAGAATGTGACATTGTAGAAAATACAATAGCTGGATAAAGATGACATTAGAAACAAAAGAACAGAATCTACGCTATGGAAAAATAAAACCAGTACTTGGAAGACAAGCCTGAGATTATTTCTTACACTGAAGGAGAACGAAATAGTGGATAATAGATTCTGAAGCAAAAAGTGAACATGTAACTTAGAAAGAGAAAGCAAAACCTGTAGAATGTTATGCATAAGTATACATTCATTATTTCTAAATACAATACTAAGAAATTGAATCAATCATAGTAAGAAACTAGTAGTTCATTACCAGGTAATTTTCCCCTGTAGGATAGTCATAGTTCAATATTAAGAAATGTACTAATGTAATCTATTGCACTGAGAGAGAAATAGAGAAATATTATTTAAATATATTGATGGATAGTAATAAAACATAGTGAAAACAATGTTTGAGACATAATGTATGTTTTACATACTGTAACTTATTTTAATTCTTATAAAAAGCTTATACTGGTTACTGTTATCATCATCACTTACCTGATGAGGAAATAGAGGCAGAGAGATTACAAGTTAGGGTCATCCAGCTAGAAAGTGACAGCTGTGATGTGAAGAATGTAGATTTGTTGCTATTGTTGTTTAGAAAGTGAATATTCATATTTGTGCGTTTGTGTATAGTATGAACACATGTGGTCTTATGTACAAAGAATTAGACAAAATTGCCCTAAAAATCTTAAGGATAAACAACTTTATATCAAATAGTTATACACATGTGGACATACATTTTAAAAAAAACTGAAGCAACAAACACCGAAAGGAGGCTATCTTTGATTTATTGACTGGATGGTGATTTTGATATTCTTCTCAGCTTTTCAATATTTATGTGCAATATTTACATAAACAAATATATATATATGATATGTAAAATATCTGATATGTATATCTTAATAACAATCATGTTGTTATTTTTATCAAAATGAGGGTATCCTGGAGCCCTACTGTAGTAACTGGTTCTACTCTTATTCTACTGATAAGTTCTGCTGCCATAAACAACTATTAAAATTGGCAAAATATTTTACGTAACTGTTTTCATAAAATGGAAAAATGGCAGGGCAAGACAGATCTATGAAGAAATGTTTTCATAAAATGGAAAAGTGGCAGGGCAAGACAGATCTGTGAGGAAATGGGAAACAAATAAGATGATCTCCACAGGAATCCAGTCTTTGACTGAGGACAATTTCCTGACCCTGGCACAGAGCCCTGAAGTTCAGGTGGAATGTGGCGGTCCCAATGAATTCAGGAGGCAGAGATCAGGGTACTGTGTAACTGAAACAGAATCTGTGAGTCAGGGTAACGGAAAAGAGTGCAGGGTTGACTTTAAAAGATTGTATGGGGTTTTCCTTGAGTCTTTGCCTGAAGGCTACGCTGTACTTGTGCAAGTCTAGAAAAACCCAAGGCTTACAACAGAGCGGTAGAGCAGTTTTTATGGAGATGACAGCAGAGCACAGATGAGGATGTCAAGAAGTCCAGGGAGAACAGCAGGAAATATTGAAGTTTCAGCCATCATAGAGTGAGGAGAGCTCATAAAAGCCCCTGGCAACATAAAAAACAAAACAAAACAAAACAAAAAACAGACAGGCTCTTCCTTATTAGTTAGAATTATGCCCTGAAGAAGTATCTTCTCTAGACCTTTTCTTAAGGAGCCTAAATTTAAGCTGCAAGAAAAGTCACCGTAGAGACAGATTTGCAAGTTGGTTCCTACAAAGTTAGAGAGTCTAGGGCAACAATTTGGGCTTTTCACAGATCTGCATTAATAGGGCAAAACTAAGCCTATATAAGTTCAACATAATTTGTCAGTAATTGAACAGTCTGTTAAAACAAAGCTGCCTTCTGAGAAAGGTTACAGAACTAAAACTTCTATGTCCATTATTCAACGAAATCACAAGTTAGACAAAGAAACGGTAATGTGATCCATATTCAATGAAAAAATGAAAGTTAATCCATACAGACTAAACCAAAGAAAGTTAAACACTGGACTTAGCAGATAAAGACTATAAAGAAATAAAATCTTACTGAGTGAATAGATAAAGTCTAGCAGAGAAAAAGATGTATAAAATAACTAAATAAGAATTGCAGTGGAAAGTACAATAAAAGAAATTAAAAATTCACCAGCTAGGATTAAATGAGAGACTGAAGATGGCAGAAAACATAGCCAGCGATCTTGAAGATAGACAAAATTTTCCAATCTGGGAGAAGAGGGAGAAAGATTAAAGAAAAATAAGCAGTGCTTCCATGAATTGTAGAATATCAAATTATATGATGTACATATATATAATTGGAGTCTGAAAAGTAAAGGAAGAGACAATAAGGCAGAAACATATTTTCAGAAATAAAGGAAAAGCTTAAAAGAAGCTCAGCAAACTCTATAGCAAGATAAATATAAAAAGAACCATATTTAGGCATTTTATGATCAAATTACTGCAAACTAAACATAAGGAAAAATTCTCAAAAGCTGCCCAAGAGAGAAATGAAAGCATTATGTACAAGGAAACAAAGATAAAAAGATGACTGACTTCACATTAGAAACAAAGATGTATAGAAGAATATAGGACACCTTTAAAGTGCTGGGCGGGAAATAACTGGCAGAATTCTAAATCTCACAAAAATATTACAGTGAAATGAGGATATTTTTATATAAACAAATTTGAGAAATTTTGTATCCACTACACATCATACATAAAGAACTAAAGAACATCTTTAAGGCCACAGGCAAATGGTGCTAAGTTGTAACTTAGATCTAGAGGTAGAAACAAAGACCACCAGAAATGATAAATAAGTGGAATTTTAAAACTATATTTCCTTCCTTCTTATAATTTATATAAAATAGATCTGACTATTCAACTATAATAGCACTGTAGGGTTTGGTTTATAATTTAGGCAGAACTGAAAGATATAATTACTATTGATTAGAGAAAGGAGCAAATTATACTGTTGTAAGATTATTTGTGAAATGAAATATAGATTGTGAAATATCAGATTTGAAATGAAAGGGGGGAGGTAACAGTGGAACATGTGAAGGGGTATGACATGCATCATGAGTACGAAGAATAAAATACTAACTATAATTACAGTCTGAAGGGTTATGAATACCTCTTGTTAGCCCTAGAACAATCACCTAAGCAGAATAAAAAGAGAAAGACTTAAGAAATCAATACAAGAAATAAACTGAAATCTAAAAAAACCATTTTCATAAACTGAAGAAGGTAAGAAGCTACAAAGGAAAGAAAAACAGAAGACAAGTGGAAGACAAAGAACAAAATGGTATTTTTAAGTACAAACACATCAATAATGCCACTAAACATAAATCAACTAAATACCAAAATTAAAAGAACTAATACAATAGCATAGATGAATGTAACAGAAATTATGCTGAGGGAAAGAAGCCAGATGCACAAAAAAAGTACTTACTGCATAATTCCATTAACATGAAATGCTTGAAAAGGCAAAAGTCACCAGTTAATGAAGGAGGTCAGGTCAGTAATCATCTGGCACAAGAATGGGGGGTGTGAAGGTTAACTGCAGAGGAAAGGGAGGGAGCCTTCTGAAGAGATGGCAATGTTCCACATCGACTGAGTTGACGCCTACAATGTTATACACATCAATCAAATGTTATTAGCATGAGAGAGTTGTATTGCATGTAAATTATACCTCAATAAAGTTGATTTTTAAAAACATATCTATTAAAATACTGATTGCTTAGCAATTAAAATGTCAAACTTTAAAACTTACTGGGTTCAAATCCTGCCTCTGCTAGTTTCTTCCAGCATGGCATAGGGCAAATTACTTAGTCACTCTAAGTTTTCTCATCTATAACATGGGCATAATAATATTAAGAACTTCATAGGACTGTTGAGAGGAGTAATTTCTTACCTGGAGTAAGTGTTCAACATGTTATATTGTATTGTTATTATCATTATTACTATTAGTACTACATATAGCACCTGAAACTGTTGAAAGATAAATCATGAGGCAAAAGCTATTTTCATTTTACCCTAAAATAATTCTTTCAGAAAAAAATGAGATTTGGATGAAAAGTAACCTGAAAATGAGACGCTAACTGATAATAAAACAGAATTAAGAGTCAGACTTTAAGCAAGACAGTAAGTACATGATTACATGCTATATTAGTTTTCTGTTGCCACTGTAACAAAAATTACCACACAGTTTCTGGTTTAAAACAATGTAAATTTATTATTTTAAAGTTCTAGAGGACAGAAATTCAAAATGAGTGCAAAATCAATATATCAGCAGGGCTGGTTCTTTCTGAAGGCTCGAGGGAAGAATCTGTCTCCTTGACTTTTTTAGCTTCTAGAGGCTGCCTATATTCAGTTTGTGGCTTCTTCCTCCACCTTCAAAACCAGTAGTGTAAATAAAGTGAAAAAGAAAAGAAAAAAACCCCAAAACAAACAAACAAATCCAGCAATGTAGTATTTTTTCTGTCTTTCTCGTGACCTTCTTTCCTGGATCGTCTCCTTCTGCCTCCATCTTATCCAGAAAGACCTACGTGATTACACTGAGGACCCACCCAGATAATTCAGGAGAGTCTTCCCACTTCAAAACTCTTAATTTAATCACATCTGTGAAGTCTCTTTTGCCATATAAGACACCACACACGGGTTCTAGGGACTAGACTGCGATCATCGCTGGAGGCCTGCCCCATGTGCCAAATGTCCTAAAAGCACGATTGGACATGAGAGAGGAAGAGAAGAGGAGCCATCAGAGAGTTCTGTGAAATTTCATTTTTAAAAGTTTACAAATGTTGGGTAAAGGGGAAACATGTATGAAGTCAAAACAAATATATAAACTAAAATTCCATTGTTATTTTTAGGTGTTTTAAACGTTTACCTACGTTTGAAAGGGCAGACAACGATAGAGAATCCATTGTGGTCTTCAAGTGGGAATAAAGGACAACGATGGAATGAGGCACATGTTAATATATATCCAATTACTTCATTTCAGGTAAGAAAAGGACAGTCATGCCTGTGGATAGATTGTGCATGAGCCTGACATCAAAGGCGGAACTTTGAGCAAACATTAGAATGAGAAATTCAAAAATTCTGTGATATGAGCATCACAGGAATCACATGATTACGTTTCTCTCTAGTTCTAAAAGCTGTTTTATCAAGAGAAAATGCCCTTTTATTATTTAACATCTATCAAGTAATATGTCTGAATAATGGTCTGTCAAAATTCAAATGATTTGCCTGGAGTAAATGCAATCCATTTCTATAAAATTATATATGTATATTTTGTTCCTTGAAGACAAACAATATAGGTTCTTGTAATAATGGAAGCTGGATAATCAATTCTCAATTGATTTGTTTAAATTTTACTTAATGGAATTTTGTATACTTCAGCAAAATATGTCTCTGAGGTAATGTCATTTTAGTAATTTATTACTTTGATTATCAAAGTCAGAGAACTTTACACAAGTTAGTTTTATTTATTTTTATACAGAAAAGAAGTAATGCTTAGATAGAATTAAGAGAATTAGCCTCAAATATATAGTTGAAATTTTAATAATTATAGCAATGGTCATCACAGCTAGAGACAATTTTTCATGAAGCTATTTTAGTGGAGAAAATAATGTAGTTTTAGTGATTTTAATAACCATATATAATATACATATTTTATATACTCAGATTGAGTGTTTTTTCTTTTTCTACTTGGGATTTCTTAACTGCATTTCATGACATTTAATAAGAGAATGGAAATTCAGACAGCCAATTATGCCAATTTTTAATTGGTGGAATGCTCTTTTCTTGTAATCTAATCTATAAAATGCTAATGACTTTGGTTTACAAATTGCACTTTTAAAACTAACCAGTGTGATAAAAATGCACACCGTTGTTAACTATGGTAAAGAATAATGGAGCAAGTCTAGCTGATTATCTACACAGAAAAGCAACTCAAATCATAGACCTTAGGAATCATTTTTTTTTATGAAGGAAAATAAAATAGTGAAGTTTGAATTTATGACAACATATCATTAAACCAAATTAAACTGGGAAAACAGATCTCCAAAGCGTTACTGAAAAAAAAAAATGACCTTAATATTAAAGTGTACATACCTATGTAGGCATCAACGAGCCCTTCTTTCTAAAAAAGTGATGCTCTTCTGGCCGTATTTTTGCTTCCTGTGTCACTGCCTCACCAACATAAAATTATTAAATCAAATACATATACAATAAGGATTTAAGGGAACAGTTATATTAATGTTTCCTTCAGGATAATCTCTTATTGCCATAGACATCAATTTAGTACATATTTATTGAGTACTTTCAGGACAATCATTTCTTGTCACAAACAGTTCAATAAATACCCACTAAGCTAGTACTGTGTTCCAGGTATGTTGCTAGGTGTGACGACTTAATAGTGATTGTTCTCCTCAGATTGGTGGAGATACACATCTGAACACATACATCACATACTGCAATAATTGCAGTAACAGAAAAATGCACAAGGTTCTCTGAGCACACCTAACCAACAGGAAGAGTATGAAGGGGAGTCAAGAAAACCTCATTCTATGGGGTGAAACATGAACTGAAGACAGGGACTGCAAAACAGAAAAAGGGCTAATATTAATATTGCAGCAGAGTTCAGAGTAAACAAAGCCGTGGAGGTCACACATCACAGGATTTGTCAAAGAAATAGAAAGACGCTTATCTGGAATTTGGTACACGACAATAAACCAGAGACTGATGTGAGGTGAGGTTAAGGAGCCTCAAGAGCATAGGCAGTGGGAAGTCACTGGAAGATTTTACCCAGGGGATGACATGATACATCCCTTGGGTTGTTATATAGAAGACTGATTCAAGGAGGTATAATTGGGCCAGCAAACCAGTTAAGACACTGGCGAAAAATCCACGTAAAAGATACTGAAGGGACAAACTAGGGATGCAGTATAAAGACAAGAGGATGATCTCAAGATGTACTTAGGTATAAAAACTAGCAGAACACTTTTATGTTGAGAATTTGGGAAGCAGCCATAATGACTAAGAAGTTTCTAACTAGGGAGTCTTGAGTAATGCCTGTTACCTTACCCATTACCTTAAATAACAGGAAGAGGATAAGAGACAAGCTTCAGGGATGCTACGGTTACTTCTGTTTTGGACATGTTAATATAAAATGCCTATGGAATATTCTTCTGAAGATGTGCAGAAGGTTGTTGTATATGTTTTTCTGAAGCTTTAGGGACACACATATTTGTGAGTCATCAGGCTGTACATGCTACCTAAAACTGTGGGAGTGACTGCATTTCCAAGGAAAAATATACATACATGAACGGTGATTAAAGACTGGAACCACGCAGAACACTAACCAGTCATTAACATAAACTGTGGAAGAGGAGCTTGGTTCTAAATAGTACTTTTTAGAGTTATAAGGAAGGAAATCCAAGGAAGTTTGGTGCCCACAGAATTTAAAGACAGTGATTCTCAAATTGGAAAGCAGGTCAAGTCCAGAGGAATGCCCGCTCTTGAGAAATTTGCATAAAGTGGTAAGGAAATTGGGAAAACCACCATTAATAGAATAACCTACTGTCTTCACATTCACTAATCATTTCTTTTGCAATGTCTAGTCTGCTTTCAGTCCTACTCAGTGTATTTCTCATTATAGCCATTATACTTTCCATCTCTATAAGTTCAATTTGAGTCTTCAAAAAATACTTTCCATCGTAATTTCATGTTTTGAACATATGAAATACAGTTCTAATAACTGTCTAGTGTCATTGCTAATGATGCCATCTGTGCCGTTCTTGGTTGGTTTTGACTGATTGATGTTTTCTCCTCATTACAAGTCATTGCTTTCCTGCTTCTTTATGTCTCCGGTAGTCTTGACTGGGTGTCAGAGATTGTGAATTGTAGCTTGATAGGTGCCAGATATTTTTGTATTTCTATAAATATTCATAAGCTTTATTGTAGATGTAGTTCAGTTACTTGGAAACAGTTTGATAATCTTTGTTCTTGCTTTTAAGATTTGTTAGGTGAGACTAGAACAGTGTTTGGTATCAGGCCAATTTCTTAATGCTGAGACAAGAGTCTTCTGAGTACTCGACCCAGTGTCCCATGAATTAGGAGGTTTCCCAAGTCCTCTGTGCAGTGAGCACTGTTACCTTAAATGAATCATTCTGAGGCTTTCCCAAGTCTTGAGTAGTTTGCTCACATCTGTGTCCCAAACAGGACTTTGCTGACTACTTGAGGGGGGTCCCTCTGCAGACAGTCTCTTTGCTGGTACGTAATCTGCATCCTCTCACTGCCGTGGACTCAGACTTTCAGCTCCATGTCTTCAACCTGGATTTTTTGCCAGGCTCTACCTTTGTTCTGCTTGCACCATAGCCTATAAATTCTGTTTAGGCCAGTTGTGGGACTCACCTTGTTTGATTTCTTTTACTCAGAATTCGCTGTTCTACATTACCTGATGTCTAGTGTCCGGAATACCATTGTTTCATATACTTTGTCCAGTTATTTGGTTGTTTCAGATGGTACAATAAATCTGGTTCCTGTTCCTCTATGTTGACTGGAAGCCAATCAAAAAAATGAAGATTCTGAATCAGTGCATTTCTGAGCTATTTAAATTACCAGTGGAAAATGAAGACAAATAAAATCATATTTTTATTTTGGTTCTCTAGGTTCTTTTTCTCTGAGGTATTTCTGGGTCCACTGGCTAAGGTCCTTCTTTTATTTCATAAATCTTGATTGTTCAAGGAAACATGAAACACGAAACATAACTGCATCATCCTACCCCATATTTTTAAAGTTTGAATTTGTTTTTAAGTTTCTTGTGGTTTTGATCTTTTTTCCAACAAAGCATTTTTTCCTCAAAAATCATCTATAACCTATCTAGCTTTTCAAAACTCTTGCTTTGGTATGTGATGCCTGCCAGGAAAGCATGGCAAAAACTGTATGTAATATATTACCATATAAATTAAGTTGTGAGAAGTTTTAATATGACTCAGATGTAGATTTGTGGCATTCTAGGATATCTCTAATCAAGTTGAAAGGATATCTCTTACCTCTTGGAATTTTAAACAAGATATAAGTGATTTTGAGCTTCTGTTACATTGACACAACTTATGTTGTTTTATTTGTTTGGGGTTGCATATCCTTAAATTAGCTTGATCCATAAAACCTTTACAAAATAACCACTTGTAAAGTCCTTTTTCTAGGTGTGTCCAAGTAGTTTGCTTAGCTGAAACTAAAGTTAATGTGCAGTACTTTTCCAGGCAGATAGAAGTTTTCTCCTGCTGAAATTTCTTTTGGGGCTCTTTTTCTAGAATTAATTTAGCATAATCAGTACTTGTGATGAAAAAATATTTGTTGACTTTGGAAGGATCAGAGAAAATTTTCAAAAAACTAAAATGAAGATAGTAATAGTCTTAGAATGTCAATTCTGTTTTATATCTTACACCAAGGAAAATATTTAACTATCCTTTTTAATGCTTTACTTCTTTCACAGTACATTCCAAATGTTTTCTGGGGAAAAAGTATGGAGATATTATGAGACTGTCTTTACATTTTCTTAGTTATAGGTGAAAAGAATTCTAGAGATCTTCTGTTCTTATATCCTCATTTAAAGATTTGGAAATAGGTTTTGAGACAATTCATTTTAAATCATACAAATCCTTAACATTAAACAGGGATTGCGAAGGAGATCCTAGTGCTGTTATTTCATCATGCTGCCTTTATGTCTATCTAAGAATAATAATAATCTGGAAAATACTGTCCTTCTTAGGAGACATTGCATGCTGGTGTAGATACACGTCTGGCATTTTAAGCCAAATTGCAAGGTAATTACATAGATACAATGATGGCTCCTGAAATAACTATTAAAAAAACATTTCAAGTTGCAGTTCACAATGCAATCTATTTCTTTCTGTTTTTGCCAACAGTTAATATCTCATGTTATTATTTCAGATTAGAAGCTTTGACAACCAACTGACATTTATTCAGCCAGTTGGA